GCTGGCACTACGCCAAGCCTCTCCAGTCTGCCAAGGTCGGACACGCTTGCGGCGAGGATTGCGCCTACCAGCGTTTCATCACTGCTGACGACTTCATTATTGCCAACGGTTTCAGCGTTGCCCATTACCCCCAGGGTATCGACTTTAACCTGGACCAAATGGAACGCACTTTCACTCCTGCTCCGGATGACATTGGCTGGAACTTGGACTACATGTTCGGCCCCCAGCGCAGATCGTTGCACAAGACCGGCCGCAAGATTGCGTGGGAACTGCAGGAGGCTCATGTTCAAGAGGATGGATCCGTACTTCAAGTCTACACTCGCCGGAAGGACGACGAGCGGTGGGTTGAAGAGGACGGCGAGCCGATGAGCAAGATCGACGGTGTTATCGAGCTTGTCTGGATCCCCTCAACATGAAGTGCCCTCGGAACTGCCGAGCACGACGATACGATACAGGCAGAGGCACCCCCGATGACCTCTCGCCTCATGACATGACAGGTCGGATGATTCTGGCATTGCAAAAGGGTCAAGGATGGATCAAAGCCCATTCACGGCTCATTTCACGCATTTGTTCAACCCAGGACATCCCGGCTTGTTCCCAAAGCTGACCTTCGGCTGAAATGGCACGGGCCCGTTTCGATTCAGACGGCCGCAAAAAGTCAATCTGGCCGACAAAGAACGACTGGCTGCATTGCCCAGGGCACCTTACATCACGACAACGCCCCTGGACAGGATCATAATTATAATCCGCTGACCGTGATACCCTCGTTTCATCACAAAACTCTTCGATTCAACTCGCATCTCGACTTCGGCATACAGCTCGCATCGAGCTTCGGCGTTTGAGTATGATACGGGGCATTTTTTCTACATTGACAGCATGCTGGCAAACGCTTACCCTCTTTTCTTTTCTACCACTGCGGCATTGCATTGCACATAGATGGATTGCGTGGACGGATCTCGCAATCGGCACATAGACCTGTGACAGGCCGGACGTTTGGAGTCATGATAAGGACGTTGGGTGTCCTTTTTGGAGGTCAACCACCTGGTATGGTTTGATTTTGGTGCAAGGAAAGGCAGTCATCGGTGCCTATGTAGAGTTTTAGAACAAGTGTATACCAATGCTACGAAATATTCAACAGTTCAAAAACTTGACCATGCGCCTTTTTTCCATGCAAATCTGTTACTATTCGTTTGGATCGCCAACGGCTTTGGAGATGCTCTGAGATGGGACGAACCGGTCGACTTGAGCCTGAGATCCCAGGCCTCAATCGACAACGGTCGTCAGGCACAAAACTGATCTGTCTCAGCCACGCCCCACCCCCACCCGAGGCAGGCTCGCGCCACAATGCACTCGTGCCCCGCCAACGTCAGTTCAAATGGCTGCTTCCTTTCCATGCTTTCGAGCAATGAAGTCATGAGGCTTGCGACATACCGTACCTAGCTCGAGGTTCTACAACGACGTCCTCTCAGCCCCAAGAGGCACTCTTCCACCATGGCGACGTGAGTATTGCCTCTTTGCACATCGGCATCTCTGCTAATCTCTTCGTCATGGCTAGCATTTCGAACATCCTGTCGTTGCCTTTCCGCAAGTCCACACAGCTCTCGCTCTCGTCGACAATACGACAGTACATCAACACCAAGTATGACCAACACCCGGACATGTTTCGCCAGGAGCTCGAGGTAATCGACGCCCTACGACGAGATGCGGTCAACGTGAGGGAGCCGCACCCTAGCGGCGTGAAGAAGCTTCAAGCCTACGCGGGACAGCTTGTGTGGATTGGGGGCAAGTTCCCGATCGACGTATGTGTCTTCTCTATACTTAGTCATACTCAAATGAGAAAAAGGCCGGGAGTTTACTGACGCAGCTTGCGAACAGATCGGGGCCGAATTCACGTGGTATCCAGCGTTGGGATACAATACCGAACGACCGATGGTGCGAAACAACCTCAAATACGAACTCATGAACATTCTCTACAACCTGGCCTCCCTCTACTCCCAGCTCGCGGTGGCGCAATCGAGATCCGGTACTGAAGGTCTGAAGACGGCGGCGGGTCATTTTGCTTCGGCGTCTGGAGTACTAGAACACATGCTGAAGGAAGTCCTGCCCGAACTTCGCATGTCTGACCCGCCCGAGGACATGGACGCCAACACCCTCGAGTCTCTATCTCAACTGCTTCTGGCACAGTCGCAAGAGTGCTTCTGGCAAAAGGCGGTCATGGACGGGTACAAGGATGCCATCATCGCTCGACTGGCCGCCCGTGTGTCCGATCTGTACAACTCGGCGGGGGAGGCTGCGATGAAGAGTGAGGCGATCAGCTCTGCCTGGATCCACCACATGAGCGCAAAGCATCACCACTTTGCTGGTGCCGCGCAATACCGAGCCGCATGCGACTGTCTCGAGAAGAGAAGATATGGCGAAGAGGTTGCTCGCTTGCAAGACGCTGTGAGCTGTGTGAATGAGGGCCTGAAGGAGAGCCGGGGCGGTTACCTTAATAAGGCGGTGCTCGAGGATCTCAACGGTCTCAAACGAAAGGTCGAAGAAGATCTCAAGAGGGCAGAGAAGGATAACGACGTTATTTATCTCCGTAAGTACCGACTTCTGGCTAATAGGGGATGATGATGCATGGCTAACTTGAGAAGAACCTGTACCGCCAAAGTCAGAGCTCAAAATTCTCGACAGAGCCAATATGGCAATAGCCCGAGTGCCTCCACAAGTAGCCAATCCGTTTGACTACGTCGGGGACCAGGCCGAGTTCGGCCCGGCACTCTTCACGAAACTGGTCCCGTTCTCCGTCCACGCTGCCATCACCATCTACGAGCAACTACGCGATCGCATAGTAAACGAGAACATTATCGGCCAGATGGAAACACAGACGGAAAAGCTGCACGTCATGCTGAGCTCCATCAACCTACCTGGTTCGTTGCAGGCACTTGAGAAACCGCTTGGCCTACCTCACAGTTTAGTTCACCATGCAGAGGAAATACGGCAAGCCGATGCTATAGGCAGGATTCAACGAGCCTTTTCGGATATCGATAAGCTAAGAACTGCTGATATCGCAATCTTCAACGAAGGTAAAGCGATACTGGCAGCTGAAGAGGAGGAAGACAACCGAATGAGGCGGAAATACGGCACAGACAGATGGGCAAGACCGGAAAGTCGCAACGACCCCCAGGGAGGCCAGTTCTGGGCTCAAGTGGCTGAGATTGAAGGCTACTTTGCGAGCAGTACAAGCAGCGATGCGGTCGTCCGAGACAAGTACAAGGAGATACAAGACCTGCTCGAAATGCTCTCTGGATCCGACCGAGCCATCATGGACTATGTACCTTCTTCTAGGCGCATGGATATCCCAGAGCACCTGAAGCCGGTAATAGGTAGGCTTCGGGGAGCTTACAACGACGTCCTGCGACTCGAGTCCAAAAGGAGAAAGAAGGCGGAGGCGTTGCGGGAGAAGGCCAGGACGGATGACATCAAGCCGGATATCCTGAAAGAAGCCGCACGACTTGAGAGAACGTACCCGACAACAGCTATTGTCCCGGCTCACTTTGAAGACTTTTTCGAGAAGCGCCTCGACAAGCTATACGACTCTGAAATCGAAGCCGTGGCCAAGGAAGAGGACGAGCAAGAGCGCCTCATGACTGAGGTGCAGAGAGTCAACCGAGAGTTTGAGAGTCAGAAGAAGAACATGACGAGCGGTAGTCGGGAGCGGGAGCAGGCGCTTCAGAAGCTTGACAATGCCTACTACAAGTACAAGGAGATTGTCAACAACGTGGACGTCGGTCGCAAGTTCTACAATGACCTGAGCAAGGTCGTGGGCCAGAACTTCCGCGATCCTGTCAAGGCATGGGCTGCAGAGCGGCGGATGGACGCCAAGAGTCTTGAGGAGTAAGAATGTCACCTTTGCGTATCAACTCATCGTGCTAACTAGCGTATAGGGAGGTCAGCATGCCGCCGCTTAATTCTCTGAACCTGAACCGATCACCGGTTCACTCCCCGACCGGCTCGAACTACGATCCGCGACCGCAGTCCTACTTCAGCGCCAGCGTCGTCCCTGGCACATCAGCACAGCAACAGCAGCCACCTTCGCGACACGAGGTACACTCTCCCGCGGAGGCACATATCCAGTCGTGGGCTGGATCAACTGTCGAACCGCAACACCCGAGACCCGCGGCCGCAATGTCGAACATGTGGCAGCCGGACATGGGCATCAAGTTCGGGGCTCAACCAGGCGCACCGGCACCTTCCGGCGGACCAGCACAAGGCCAGGGCACGGCGAGCCAGCCGCCGCCGCCGCAAGGAGGCACCTGGAACCCGTCTTCTGGGATCAAGTTCGGTTAGGATACGGACCGGTTTCCACCACCTACAAAGAAGGGACAGTGAAGAGGAGGCGAATATGCCAGTGCGAGGAAGGCTTCCATTTGGTTGACTTTAAGCGAGTCGTTTGGCGTTGATGGATTTGCGTCGTCTTGCTAGACGTACCATAGCTCCGTCGCAAAGCACGCTTTTTTTGTGTTTAAAAATGAAGGATACATGCATGGTTTGTTCATGTACACGCGAAACATTCCTAAGCATAGTTGAAGTATTTGAACAGAAGCGGCATTTCCCCAAGGCAGAGGGCGTGGGAGGCTTAAGACCTTGTAAACACGTCATGTTTCCTCTGGGATAAGGAAGGTTCAGCGCTATTTTTAGTCTCACGGCTTTTTTGGAAAGTTTCCTCCAATTTTTGCGCCTCTTGTCTCTTTGTTCGGCCGATACGAAGTAGAATTTGGAGAAAAGACGCTTTGCGGCTACATGGCAATTGGACCGGAGTTGACCGCGGATTTATGGTTACAAGACAGAAGAAAAAGATAGGAGCCGCTTGACTCGGTGTCCATCTTATGGAATTAGTAAGTGCAAGCGACATTTGCCGATGAAAAGGGTTCTTGATTCAGTTGGCGACCGTCGCTGAGTCAGTATCTGCCGAGGAAGGGATTTTCGGACGTGGTCCGCGATAGACGTTGAAGAGTCTGCAGTTTGCATATTGCAGTCGCCGATTGGAATACACTTGCTCGTAAGTAAACGGATCTACCTGGTCTTGAAAGTAAGTGTAAGAGTGTAGATGTATGCACACTGTTGTCGTGGCAATGGTGAAGCAAGTTGAGAGTTTTGTTTACTTAATAAGCTTGGGGGGGGAGCGGCAGTGCGGCAGGCATCGGGCGATAAACCAAATTGGAAGTTTGAAAATCGATCCTGACAGCCAACAAAGATCCGATCGGTTGAACGCCTTTGACAGGAGGAGAAAAAAACGTCCGGCCGAGTCATTCCATTGGTCTTTCTTTGGCCTGTGGACGCGTTTCATAGGCCGCTCTAGAACGTGCAAGAAGGACCCCAAGAAAAGGAGTGACGGGTGGATCTGATCTGGCCCAGTTGGGTCCCGTTCGATGGTCGAAAGAGGGACGAGAGGGACAAGAGGGGTATGATGTCAGATTCTCTTTGGTTGGAAAGAGAGCCTCGCCCACCTGTCTACTGTGTACCACAACAATGTTTTTTTTTCGGTAACTATCTCTTTGCGGTATCTTTTTTTATTTTTTTGCCCTTTTCGCTCCTCCCCGCCACACTCCTCGTTGTGTCTCCCGCCAGCCTAACAGTAACTAACCGCCATACCGCCGCCGCTGCCAGAAGAGAAAAGTAGAAGAAATAGGAAAAGCGCAACGCCCGGGATGGTTTAGGTGACACTTTTCGCCCGCCTTTCCGCATTCCTTCGTTACCGCCGCCCGCCCCCCATTCTCCAAAATCCCAAATGCACCCCGTGGCCACGCGAGATCCACGAGCGGATACGTAGTTGTCGCCTCCCCCGCCGGGCTGTCACTCCGAAAGTCCCCTTTTGACAGAGAAAAAAAAAAAGCAACAAAGACTCGGAGAAGAAAAAAATTGAGAGCAGAACGAATCCGAGGACAGAGAGATAGAGAGAGGCCTGGGTAGACGAGAGCCGCCAACACCGCCGTCCCCCCCTGCTTGCTACCCCTCGACATCAGAGCACGGCTACACTCTCACTCTCACGCTCACTGTCACTTTGTCACTCACGCTCATTCTCATTCTTTGCTCTCATCTCAGCTCTCACTCATTTCCTCCTCTCCCTCGCCCAACTCGGCTCAGCTCACACCGCCCCCCCCCCCCCCCACCCCCCACAACAGACGACCGCACCCGCCACCCGTGTGCGGTGTGCTAAGCGCGCATCCGCGTGTTTTTCCCAATCCAATGTCCGAGGCCCAACGCGAGCGGGAGGTCCAGCGATATCTCCAGAGCTGGCAGGTCGCCCAGGGTTCCTCATTCAACGTCGCCCTCAATGTCGACAGCATCGCCGCCCCGGACTTACATGGCAACGGTTACAAGCCAAAGGCCTCGGGCGACAAGGCCCTCACCGCTTTCGCCCAGCTGGCCGTGCTGAAGCTCAACGTCAAGCGGGCCATGGTGTCGCTGATTGATACCACCACCCAGACTATCCTTGCCGAGGGTACCCGTTCCATTCAACTTGGCGACTTTGATCACTTGCAGGACCCGAATAACAGCGGCTTGAACGACGACGATGACAAGACGAGCAACGATAATGAACTGTGGCGTACGTAGGCCTCTCCATTCAGATGACTACATCACTCAGTCCCGGCTGCGGCTGCAGCTGAGGCCTGCGCTGGAGCCAACCGCCATCGCCGCATGTCCACAGCCTTCTTGATGCATGTTGGCTTCATGCTTGAGTCTTCTTATCCGTGTGCAATGTCAGCAGACATACCGGAAGAGGGGGACTATTCATGTTGGGAGCTCCTATGCTGACAGTTGTGATTCCACTAGTCGGCGCCACTATTCTATCCCGTCCTGATGCTGTTTGCGAACACTCCATGGTGAACACTTGCACAGGTTTAGATGACAAGGGCCGCCCGTATACGGCGACCGGACTCATCGTCAACGACTGCCGCCTCGACTCTCGCTTCAGTCAGCGTCCCTACGTGCTGTCGGAACCCGGCGTACGTTTCTACGCTGGCGTGCCCATCATCTCACCCAGCGGCCACAAGATTGGCTCCTTTGCCGTCTCCGACGAACGACCTCACGATGGACTCACAGCGGAAGAGATTCGCTTTATGCAGGGCGTGGCCCAGACGGCCATGGAGCATTTAGAGTGGGCACGAGATCGCGTGGATAGGTTCAAGGGCGAGCGGATTGTGCGGGGACTGGCGACGTTTATCGAGGGATGTTCCATCATGAACGAAGATTCAACTTCTGTCAAGGACGACATACCGAGGAGTCCCTCGACGGTACGGCCGCCGGATATGCCGCTCATTTCGACGCGGCGGCCGATGCCGAGATCGAATTCCTACTTCCGCAACGCCGAAGCACTCATCCGGTCTCGAGAGTCGTCTGCGTCTCGCCAGCAAAGCGATACCACGGAACCCCCGGGTCCCAGCACCGAGAACCCGCCGTCGCCCAAGAAGGTATTCCAGCCGAGGGTCGACGGCCTGTCGAAACTCTTCAACCGCGCAGCAGACGTCCTCCGCCACTCGACATTGGCTGACGGCGTAGCCTTCTTTGGAGCCACGGCAACGAGCGCCATGCCCGGAGGCCAGTCGAGGTCGGGAAGGAATCAATCGTCGGACGAGGAGGACGTCACACGACCCGCCACATCGGGCTCTGGGCTCGACAGCTCTGATTCGGATACATCACCCTCCTCCAGGCCCTGCAAGATTTTGAGCTTCTCCGTGGCTGACGAGCGGGCGCGCGCGCGCATCGAGCAGGGCCCGGCACTTTCACTCGGCATTCTTGAAAAGTACTTTTCCATGTTCCCCATGGGCAAAACCTTCTCCTTCACCGAAGCCGGGCTTGGGGTGTCATCGGGTGACGATAGTGCGAGTGACAGGGAGACGATGGGCGTCGACGGAGCAGCCCCGCCAGACAGGACCGAAGGCAGACGGCGAAAGGTCAAGATGGTCCACGAGGAGCTTCTCAAAAAGATTCCCGGAGCAAAGACTGTGGTTTTTGTGCCCCTATTCGACTACGGCGAAGACAGGTTAGCCGGTGGATGTTTCCTCTGGACCTCCGTCACCGGCCGCATGATGAATCTCGACCAAGACCTCTCGTATCTCCGTGCCTTTAGCAACAGCATCATGACCCAAGTAGGCCGCATCAATAGTCAAAAGAACGAGGCTGCCAAGACGACCTTCATCGCGAGCATGAGCCACGAACTTCGCAGTCCTCTTCACGGCATCCTCGGGTCTGCCGAGCTTCTCCAAGATACCAGCACCGACGCATATCAATCGGGTCTCATCAGCTCCATCGCCACCTGCGGAAAGACGCTACTCGACACACTCAACCACGTGCTTGACTACAGCAAGATCAACAGACTCGGGCGGGCGCAGATGAGACGCCGCGCAAAGCAAAACCAAAATAGGCCCGTGGCTATCACGTCAGACTCTCTCGAAAGCTTGAGCATGTCCTCCGTGGTGGACCTAGCTGTCCTCGTGGAAGAAGTAGTCGACGCCATCGCAGCGGGCCACGCCTTCAAGAAACTCGTCGGTGCGGGATCCCTGGATGGACCCAAGCCGAGCATCAGTGTCAAGGAGACGAATAACGTGAGGTCGGTGGGCAATTTCCAAGCGCCAGGGGCCAAGGGTCCTGTATCAATATTGCTAGACGTCGACTCGAAGATACCATGGCTGGTGAAGGCGCAGCCAGGTGCCCTCCGGCGGATCATCATGAACTTGTTTGGCAACGCCCTGAAGTACACGACGCAAGGCTACGTTCTCGTGTCTTTGACCGGCCAGACGAGGTCAGAGGGGACAAAGATTGACGCCATGATACGAGTGGCGGACTCTGGCAAGGGCATGTCTGAGGAGTTTCAACAGACCCGACTGTTCCTCCCCTTCAGCCAGGAGGATTCATTCCAGCCCGGCACGGGACTGGGTCTCAGCATTGTCAAGCAGATTGTCGACTCGTTGCGAGGGACTCTCGAAGTCAGGTCCGAACAAGACAGAGGCACCGAGTTCGACGTCCACCTCAGCTTCACTTCGGCATCCGATGATACGGAGAGTCCCCGTGAGCCGGACGAGGTGATGCGCAGCACCGTCAACGAGACAAAGGGGATGAAGATTGTCCTCCTTGAGGAGGAGCGCACCCCCGACGCGCCGCCCATGACGAAGCACGCCGCGAAACTGAACCAGATTCTTACGGAGACGTGCTCCGAGTGGTTCGAGATGAAGGTCGTTAAAGAAACCCCCAGCGATCCGCCGGAGGCCGATATGTATCTCTACTCCGAGCCTCCCTCGGTTGAGGTACTGGAGAAGCGCTTCAAGGATAATTCGCGGAGGTCGCCTAGTCAGAAGAAGGCGCCTTTTATCATTGTTTGTCCGACGGCAGAAGAAGCGGTCAACATTCTCCAGGACCACAGCAAGCTGTTATTGGACTTTTCGGAAATTGTGGAAGTGATACCGCAGCCGTAAGTACTTGCACGATTTTCGTCATGATTTCCAGGGAACTGTCCCTTCATATACCGACGCCCAGGCTGACTGATCATCACAGATGCGGCCCACGAAAACTAGCCAAGGTCTTCAGCCACTGCCTCAAGCGGGTAGAAGAGCTAGAAAGAAGCCAAGCAGAGCGCAACTCCTCCGGCCTGCTGGCCCCCGTACCACTAGCTCCCGACGGCACCACCCCCGGCAACGAAATCCGCCAGGTCGAACGAGTCGGCACCCCGCTCCACCAGCACGTCAGACCCGAGCAGGTTGAACCGGCAATGGGCGTCCAACCCCTCATCAAGTCCCTAGGCGCAATGGCCCTCTCTCCAGCCCTCAACGGCGGCCAGCCCGTCCTGGTAGAACAAAAGAACGTGACGCTACACGTCTTGCTTGTAGACGACAACCAAATCAATCTCAAGCTTCTCGTCATGTTTATGAAGAAGTGCGGCTTCACGTACGAGCAGGCCGAGAACGGACAGGAGGCGCTCGATCGATTCATCGAGGCGTCGAGCTCGTCTATCGAGGCGAGCGCGAGTAAGCGCCGGCGATTCGATTTCGTGCTCATGGATATCAGTATGCCTATCATGAACGGGTTCGAGGCGACCAAGAGGATACGGGAGTATGAGCGGGAACACAGGTTGCAGGCGACGACGGTGGTGGCGCTGACGGGGCTGGCGAGCGCGGATGCGAGGAGGGATGCTGAGACGTCTGGATTTGATGTTTTCTTGCCCAAGCCGGTGCGTTTTGCCGAGCTGCAGAAACTTCTTACGGCGTCGTGATGGTTCACGTCGTCGAGAGAGCATCGCGGTTGACTGCTCGAGGCGGTCTTCATTATGGATGTTCCCTCCCCCTTTTTCTTTTCTCTGAGCATAATAAACAAGACGCCCTTCTAGGAAGTAGACTAGGTCGTCAAAACGTCAACTACGAAAAAGTTTTACGGGTTTTCCTCAGCCCTTTGACGGTTACATGGTTTGTAATTACGATAAAAAAGACAAATACCATTTTTATGTTTCTTCTTCGCTCTTGCTATGTCTATCCCTCTTGTGGTTCCGAGACGCATTCTAAACTCTAGTGCCCTGGGCTATGATGCCATGGGCGAGAGTAAGACAAAAGTCCGCACAATGGTCAAACATTTTGCCCTCCTCCCCTTCCACGTCATGAACGGGCTACTCCTCTTGAGAGAAGATAGAAGCCGCCGCAGCATCGTACAATGTTCCGAAGCCCTTTGCCAGGACGGCACATGCGTCGTGGACGAGTTTCCTGCTAATCTGGTGGACACTAGAAGGGGGAAAAGTCAGTCAGTCAGTCAGCTCATATCCAAGCAAGCAATACGCAGACTGAAAACCTATATATATATATATATATATAGAGAGAGAGAGAGAGAGGGAGAGAGAAAGAGATAGACGCCAAACGAAAGAAACAGACTATCAAACGAGAAGAAAACACATACCCAGCAAGCACAAGCACAGAATGCGTCGCCCCCTCATACACCCTCGTCTCAACCTCGACCCCAACGCCTCTCAGTAGCTCCGCATACGCCAACCCCTCCGTCGTTAACAAATCCACCCCCGCGACAGCAAGCCACGTCTTCGGACTCCTTGCCAGAATCTCGGGCGGTGCGAAACATGGTGACGCCTGCCACTGCTTCTTGTCGGCATCGCCGCGGGA